CTTGGGTAAGAAACATTCAGAAGTGCTCTGGTGAGGGGACAAAGAAGATGCTTTAGTAAGTTTAAAATCTTAGTGCTTGAAGAAACTTCGGGACAGTATAGTTTTTAATGGAGAAGCTCTGCTTGGGAACAATTTATGCCTGTGGGGTTGGGATGGATCTCCCAAAGGTCTATTGTATGAGTGAGTCATAGTGTTTCTAGGGAAACAGGAACATAGTGGCAACTGCCTAACATTGGGAAAGGCTGTGGCTGGACACTGTGGCTGTGGTCGACGTCAACTCTGGGCTCATTACCCAGACGGAGGGAGATTTGCATCTAAGTAGGTCTAGGAAGGAAGAAGCATGTTTCTCAACAGTGGGGAATCCCACAGATCAATATTTTCTCTGAGTCATTTCTACCTCAGTTTCCCTAATGCTATCCAAAGCTGGGGTCCCTCTGCTGGTAATCTAAGGCACATATAGCTGGAAGAGATCATTAAGTTCATTTTCTAAGTCTCCTTCCTGATGTAAGAAATGTACCTAGATCATCCCCAACAGGTGAACATTCAGTCTCTGCTCTAACACCTTCAATGATGGAAAACTTGCTGTAGACTAGAGAGACAGCTCATTTCCCTTTTATTTTATTGTTGGTAGGATAGGTGCTTCTGGAAGGCTGGGGACTATTCACCGGAGCTTTTTTGATTCGCTTAGATTTTCACAGCAATCTCCTTCTTATAGTGGTTGGAATTCCCAAGAGCCCTAGGACATTTGGATTCTAGTTTCAGCTCTACTGCTTAATGGGCTGTGTGAGACTTAAGCAAGTCACTTGCCCTATTTGGGTCTCAGTTTCCTCATATCTATGAAAGGATTGGACAAGGTGATCTCTAAAGGTTTCTTCTGGGTCTGACCTATGGTTCAACAGTCTGCTGCCTGGTGTCCTAAACCTGGCCCAGTAAAGGAGAGAGGAGAGCTACTGGGGAGAGGGGAGTAGGAGGAAAGGGTAAAAGGAGGATGTGAAGGGTAAGCTGCTGGAACTGACTGTAAGTGCTTTTGAGTAGAGCAATGAACATTCAATTTTGTAAGTATTTAAACACTGAGGGGGATACAAAGGTTGAAGACCCTGCTCCTGGCCTTGCAAAGTTGAGAATCAAGCTGGGAAGACAAGATTAATCCAGAGAGAACAGTTAGAGAGCACTTTAGTGACTAAGCACCATTATCAGTGGTACAGACTAGTGTCAGAGAGTTAGAGCCGGAAGGAATCTTCGGGACAGTCTCCTCACACCCTTTATTTTACAAGAGGCCAGCAAAGGGAAGCGACTCACCTGTGGAGAAAGCACTGGACAGGAAATCAGGGGATGTGGGCTTAGTCCTGGTTTCCAATTCAGTGCTGTGTACATTTGGGGCAGCTAGGTGGTGCAATGGATAGAGTGCCAGGCTAGAAGTCAGGAAGACTCATTGTGCTGAGTTCAAATCCAGCCTCAGACACTTACTAGCTGTGTGACCCCGAGCAAATCATTTAATCCTGTTTGCCTCCATTCCTCTTCTGTAAAATGAGCTGGAGAAGGAAATGGCAAACCACTGCAGTATCTTTGCCAAGAAAACCCCAACTGGGGTCAAGAAGAGTTGAATCAACCGAACTAGAAGCTCTCTCCATTACAATATGCTGCTTGCATTTAGGGGACCCTGATCCTCAGTTCTCTCCCAGCCTGGGCTTTGTGGAGAAGTCAAGGAGATAGTTTAGGGGAGAAAATGAGGACATTAACATCCATGGCTAGGCATTCATTGTGGACTATAGAAGAGGTATACCAGGGTTGGGGAACCTCTGGCGTTGAGGACCTAGAGGGCCACAGGTTCCCCACCCTGAGTTACACTAATAGAGGATGAACCCTTTAAGAACACCCGTTTGGTTCCCTTTTGGTGCAGTGCAGTAACAGATAAATTGCTGAACCGGGAGTCAGGACCACTAGGTTTGAATCCTGCCTTAAATACACATTAGCTTTTTGATGATGGCTAGGTCACTTAACCTTTTCAGAGACTCAGTTTTCTCAACTGTAAAGTGGGGATGATACAACAGTCCCTTCCCTACAACACTGTCCTGAGGAAAGTGCAGACCTTAACATGCTGTATAAAAATGAGTTATTTTTATTTTCTAGACAACCAGGGGTCTGCCAATACCCAGTAATAAGTTGGGTGGGGCGCTGGACCTTTTCTTAGGGGTCCTGCTATCTATACTCTAGTGAGGCTTATGTCTTCTTCAGGAAAACTTACAAGTTAAGTCAGAGTCCTGCAGAGACAGGGCTTGGGCAAATGACATAGTGTAATCACTCTCCCATGTCCTCCAATAATTTAAAATATTACTGTGTGAGTGTGTCTGCATAGTTGGAGGTGTGGACTGTCAACAAGGTGCAGAAGGAACAGAATACCAGGAGTCAGGAGAGATGAGATTGCTACTTACTAGCTCTATGACCTTGGGCAAATAATTTCCCATCTCTGGGCATCAGTTTCCTCATCTTTAGAATGAGAATCATAATACTTTCACTACAGTATCATATTGTAAGGAAAGTACTTTGTGAATTGTAAACCACTCTAGATATGTAAATTTCATGGATTAATATACTCCTAGAAGGGTTCTTAGAAATCATCTAGTCCAACCTTCCCCATTTTACAGATGAGGCAACTGAGGCTGAGAAGTCAAAGTCATATAATAGCAGGGCTAGGATTTGACCGCCTTTTGCGTGCTTCATCCTGTCTTATGAATTATATTAATTTAATTGCAGGGGTCCGAATCACTCTACCCCACTTAGCCCTGAAGCCTTTATCAAGTAAGAACCTATGTCTATTGAAACAATCGATCAGAGATGTAAAAAGGCTTAGCCATCAAGAAGTAGTTTCAGATTGGTTGAAAAGGGGAAAGGAATAAACATTTATTTAACACCTACTATGTGCCAGCCAGACGCTGTATTAAGCACACCCTTTGAGGTTGGTGCTATTATTATTCCCATTTGACATTTGAAGAAACTGAGGTTAAGTGACTCATCTAGGGTCACACAGTTAATGTGTCTGAGGCCATATCTGAACTCAAGTCTTCCTGACTCCAGGCCTGGTGTTTTATCTCTTGTGCCACCAGCTGCCTCATTCATCAGCTTTTTGAGAGACTTGGTCCATGCCCTGCAAGGCTTTTATAAAATAGCAGACCACTTCAGAACCTAGAAAATTCCAGCATGTTAGATAGGTTAGGGTGGAAAGTTAAGCCACTGAGAAAGAACTGCTCCGGAGGAGGAGAAGGGCCCTTGCCCCAGGCGTAGCTTCATTCTTGGGGATTTTTCATCCATGTTATAGCAGAATCCCAGGGAATGCATTGGTAGTGTCTGCATCAGAAGACTAGGATGGACTGGACTCCAGGGAAAAGCAGAGTCAAAACTTCACAAGGAGGCCAGCAGGAAAGCTATACAATAGCTAATGGGATCATCTTGGAGACTCCAGCTAAAAGATTTCCAAGAACTGTGCTACCTCTTTGCTACATATGCTCTTCAGGCATGTGAGAGTGCCTACTTTTCCCTGGATTCTGTATGCACTTGTGGGAAAGTGCCACAGACTTTTTTTTGGGGGGGGTTTGTATCCACTATGCCATTATAGTAAATGCTCATTTCTAAAATCTGACAATTATGAAAGCACAACAGGGTTCTTAACTTTTTCTTGCATCGTGGACCCCTTGGCAGTCTGGTGAAGCCTATAGCCTCCTCAGAATGATGTTTAAATACACCTGAGTTTGATTCTTGCATCAGATTCCTACCAGTTGTGTGAACAGTCTCTTTGATCTCTCTCAGCCTCAGTGTCCTTATCTGTAAAATGTGGATGATAATAATAGCACCTCCCTCAGAGGGCTACTGTGAGGATTACATGAGATAATATGTAAAGTGCTTTGCAAACCTTAAAGGCTATATAAATTCTAGCTACTATTACTAAATGCATAAAATAAAATACATAGGACTACAAAGGAGGCCAATTATATTGAAATAAAATCATAAAATTAAAACAGAAAAACATTCCAGGTTAAGAACTCCTGTGTGAGGAAGGCAGTCCTCAAGATGTAGCAGCCTTGCTCTAGAGACCTGACTGGCCTTCGTGAGTAGGAGTTGGAAGAGCCAGCTCTAAAATTTACGTGTACTAAATAGTGACGATAATGATGATGTTGGCGAAAGGCAGACTGCCTAAGTAGAGACAGCCAGTCTCCGAGCTGATCCCCAGGGCCTGTATTCAAATCCTACCCCAGAATACATGCTGGTTGCTGGTTGTGATCCCAGGCAAGTTATTTAACCTCTCAGGTCCCCAGTATTCAAGTTAAGTCTACGATAACAAAACATTGCCAGACCCGCATTGCGAGGGCGAATTTCCTCCCTGGGAGTTCCCCACATCAGTGATTTCACAGTTCTAGCCTAATATTAATATGACATCAACAACAACGAAAACCCCCTATAGATTTGAACTTATTTTGCAACACTTCTACTGAACCTCTACCTCCTCACCTGAGAAGTTGGGCTGATTGACCCTAAAAGCTTCTTCCAACTTTAGATCTATGGCTCGATGATAGATCATTACTGGGGAGAAGATAGGATAGGGGCACTTCCCTCAGAACTCCAATATCTTAGGACTCATCTCTTAGAAGACAGAAGAAGCTGGCACGCGGAGGGAGCCCGAAGGGGTAAGTGCATAAGGTAGAAGGGAAAGGCTGGCGTGGGAGTGGCCTGGCTGGGGGACAACTGATGCACTGGTGGGTGTCCCGGGACTGGAAGAAGAGACTGAGACTTTTCGGATTGAATAGGGGTTTCTGGCATTCCGCGTGGGTTTGCGGATCCTTCCCCTGGGGGAGTGAGCCTCCGCAGCCTGGGGGATCGGCCATCTGAGCTCCGGGGAGCAGTCCAGGCTGGGGAATTCCGGGCGGGGGCGGCGGCTCAAATCCCTGGCTGGGCGGGGCGGGGAGGGGCGGGCAGCAGCAGCACGCCACCTATAAGAAGAGCGCGCTCAGCCGGCTCCGGACTTGTCCGGATCCCTAGCCTAATCTTCGCGCACGCCAGCCAGGCTGGGAGGCACCATGCCCCCGTTCGGCTTTTTTGCTCTCTTGCTCCTGGCCGCTAGCGCCGTAGCCGAATCGGTAGGTGCTTGGGGAGCCTAGTGTTTCTGAGTGGCCCTTGGAAGGGGGGGAGGTCGGTGGAAGTGGGGAGGGCTTGGCGCCTGCTTTGTGCTTGGGGTGCATGGCGGGGGCGGGGAGGCAGTGCTCGGACTCGCGTCTCCCAACCCTAGGGATGGGAGGGAGGCGGCCACTTCCACTAGAGTTAACTTTGTTTTCCCCTGTACTTTACTCTGGAATGGCGGTGAAGCAGAGGGGGCCCAGAGACGGGGTGTGGGGTTGGGCTCCTCTGCCCTCAACTCACCCCTCCTTAGGGTGACTGACCCAGAATGCCACCAACCTCGCCTCTGCCTCCCCACCTATACTGGGGTTCCTCGGAACCTCCTCTCCCCGAGTTAACTTTCTGCCAGGGACGTGATTAACTTGAGACCGACTCTCCCACCCCACCCCACCCCACCCCCGCCCTGTGGCCAGCCCCTATCCCATAGCTACGCCGCACCACCACCCCCTCCATTGGGCCCCAGCCTGCCTTCACTGGAGTGATGGGGGGGTAGGGGGAGGGTGCTGCTGGGGGACAGATCGAGCGCGCATAGGTAGAACTTGGGAGCTGAAGATCTTAAAACTCATCTAGTTTCCTCATTTTACATTTGAGGAAACTGAGGCCCAGTAGAAGCTAGGAAATGACAGAGCCACGATTTTCTCTTTTGACTCTCAGTCCCTTGATCTTTACAATTTTTCATGCCGGTTGGAGTTTGGGATTGGTGATATAGGCGACCTCCCTTCCTCTCTTCTTCTGGAGCTGGGTTCATCTCTTATGGTATGGCACGATCCAGAGGCTAGCCTCCAACTTCGCCCCTACCCCTCCCTCCTCCCCACTTAAAGGAGGGGAAGGAGGGGGAATCAAAGTTCAGCTGCTCTTGGTAGGAAAAGCCCCATGCTTTTAGCCTGGGTTTTCAAGTCCTTTTTCTGGCGCTAACTTCCTGACCTTGGACAAGTCCGTTTGAACACACGTTGTAGAGATTCGTTCTTGATGTGAGAGATACAAAGTTAACATTAGACCAGTTCCTGAGTGTAAGGTATGACGATCTACTAGTACTTCCCCTCACAGCCTCAATTTTCTCAACTGTAAAAGGGGGATAATGTGGCTTACACTCAAGTATCGCTCTGAGCTGTTTTGAGGATCAGAAGAGATTATGGATGCCAAGGTGCTTTGGAATTTTAAAAGTTTACATAAAAATGTGGTGTGTTATTGACTTCCCACCTGGTGGAGCCTGAGGTGTGAGTGTGGGAGGGAGAAACTGGACTGCCAAGAGTTATTGTCATAAACTACAGTAAAAAATAAACTACAGAGTGGACTCCACTGGGGTGAGGAAGCAGTGTTTTCTTGACGCTTCCCCCCCCTGCCAGATGTGTAAATGTGTGAAGCTTTGTTCTTCACCCTGTCTGTTGTCTGGAGCAGAGCTTTTTACCATTTTCTTGCTAAATTTTAGCCCAGGCCTGGGAGCCCTAGCAGCTTAATCATTAAATATTGATTCAACTTAGAACTCTGAGGCCTCTTGAGGACAGTTTGGGGGCAACCTTTGGACAGGATGGGCAATGATATCGTTCCATTCAACAAATACTTACCTGCCCACTCTGCAAGGAATTGTGTTGGAGATAGAGCTAAGAAAATGACATGTAAGCCCCTTAAAGGCAAGGACTATGAGCTTAGGGGGGATATATATGACATGTCCATAGGTTAAGATAAAACAAAGTAAAGGTCTAGATCAGAGGTTTCAAACAAGCTGCCTGAACTAGATTAAAATGTCATTGGGAAATATTTAGCAAAACAAATAAAAATATAAAACATGGACATTATTATATTTTAAGACCAAGTCAATTGTGACCCTCAGGGATGCTTATGTATCATTATTGGCTCCTTTTCTATTTGAGTTTTTTCATAGCATTGATGAAGATTAGTTTCTGTGGCAAGTTGGAGGTGAGAATAGTTTCTGCTTGGGATCAGGGAAGAAGGCTTAGAGGAAAAAGTGGTGCAGTTGAGAGAGTCCCTATATAGGGACAGAGGATTGGGAATACCTGAGTTCACGTCTGGCTTCAGACATTTACTAGTTGTGTGAACCTGGACAACTAGTCATTTAACTTAACCACTGACTGCTTTCAGTTTTCTCAGCTGTAAAGTGGGATTAATAATAGTACCTAGGCACTGGGCTGTTGTGAGGCCCAAATGAGATATTATTTGTAAAGTGCTTAGCACAGTGCCATTTGTAGGAGCTATTTAAATGCTAGCTATCACAATCGTTATTATTAAATGAGTTAACATGTAAAGCACTTTGCAAACCTTAAATGCTAAGCTATTATTATTATCATTACTACTAAAAAGGTCATTATTTGTAAATATCCTGGTTGCTCCTGTGTCCCATTTCAGTAGAATAATAATAGCCTTCAGGAACTTTTCATTTTGGGAGGAAGGGGAAACTCATCAACAATGTAGTTCACACTACCAGCTCTTTGGGAGCCCCCAAAAGAAAGACTAATTTGGGTTAGAGTAGCACATGCTGCCTAGGGGAGGTAGACGTTGAATAAGGAAAACCCTTTTGAGGGCAGAGAGTACCTGTTTGGATTTGTATTCCCAGGGCCTGGAACATAGTAGGAGTTTAATAAATGCTGAATCACTGAAATTACTGAACTGGAAGGTGAAGCCCCTATCAAGTTCAGGCTGTCTTTTGAGGAGAAAAATAACTAAAGAGACATTGGGTCTATTAGAAAGAGCACAGGATTTGGAACCAATCAACAAGCATTTATAAAGAGCCTACTGTGTTTACAGCAAGGCCAGTTTGCCTGGACCACAGTTTTGGAGAATGAAAGGGAGTGATGTGTAATAAGTTGGAAAGGTCATTTGGTGCCAGATTGTGAACTCTGAACAGGGCATATATTTATTTGGTCCTGGAGGTAATGAGCCAATTGGAGTTTGCTGTTGGTGAGCCATTGAAATTGGAGTCAGATCAGATCTCTCCAATTTTACTTTGGTAGCTAATTGGAGATGGGAGACACTTGTGGCAGGAGGGCCAATTTAGGAGGTTAGTGTAATGGTCCAGGTGAGAAATGATGAGGTCTGAGATAAAATAGGGGCTGTGGGTGGAGAGAAAGGGACAGGCAAATGCAGTGTTGTCAAAAGAGAAACAAGACTTGGCACTGATTTGACCGGACACCTGGAGCGGGGGTGAGCAGGAGAATGAAGCCGGGGTTAACATCCTGGGGGACTGAAAGGATAGTTAGTGGCGCTCATGGTAAGTTCCAAAAGCCAGGGCTAGTTTGTAGGGGAAAGGTGATCGTTTCTGTTTGCTTTATTTGAATTTGAGACAGTTTGAATTCCATTTCTGCGGTTATTAGCTGGCTCTGTGACCTTAGGCAAAACATTTCCCAGCTCCAGGCCTCGGTGCTCTGTAAAATGAGTGAGTTGTATTGGGTGATCTGAGCCCTCCACGAGTTCCAGATCTTATGATTGGGTGAAGAGGCTTATCCAGAGTCACATGGCAAATTAGTAGCAGGGCTGGAAGTAGAAAGAAACCAGGTATCCTGCCCAACGCCAGCCCAGGATTCTTTTTACTTAAACCACAGCTGCTTTCAAGGATAGGTAGGTTTGAAGAGAGGAGGAGGAGGAGACAGCACTAGCAAAGGCTTGAAAAGGCCCCATTCATTGCCTGTGGGCCGTGTGACTTCCGGAACAAGTCACTTTTCCTCTTTGAGCCTTATTTTCCTTCTGCTAAATGACTGTCCTGGACTGGTTCTGAGGTTCTTTCTAGATTTGAATTTTATGATCAGTAAGGGAAGTAGCAAAATTCAATACCTACTATGTTTAGAGCACTGCTGTGTATACAGTCTTCTATTTTTATGGGTCTTGGTGCTGGATTTAGAGTCCAAGGACTTGGGTTCAAAACCTGGCTCTGTTACCAACCTTTTGACCTTGGTAAAAATCACTTGGCATTTCTGGGCCTCAACTTTGCTTCTCCAGAAGTTATGTTCTCTTAGATGACCTCTAAAGTTCCTTCCAGCCTTAATTCTGATGCTGTGATCTCATGTTTACAAAGTGGTCAAGGTCACATGATTATTACATTGGTATAGCTGGGACTGGAACTCTTCGACCCCGACTTGGGGGTCTAAGGCACCTTCCTTCCCCTAACTCTAGACTGCCTGTGCACACTTCCAAACAGAGTGTTAGGCATCTCAGAAGTAGGGGAAGGAGTTTTTCCCCCTTTGAGCATCAGTTTCTAGTAGCAGTGACTTTTGGTTCATTGTGGCACTTTGGCAGGGCTAGATGTGCCTTCTGCTGTATGGAGGAAGTAAAGGGAGCAGGAGGGAGCCTGGCCCTCTGTCCTCAGTGGAAGAGTGAGATGTTTACTTGAGTCACAAGGATAAGGCGACCTGCTGTTGCTTGCTTGACTCCTGGTAGGGGTCATTAATCTTTGACCTCTGCCCTTTCGTTCCAGTTCCTAGCTTCTGTTGGCCCCTTAAACAAAGAAAAAAGGCCAAGATTTGTCTCAAAGAAAGAATTACATATTCCTTTGGGTTACCTGACTTGTGGTCTGAACTTGGGGTAGGGAAAGCAGAGAATAAGGATTTAATGCAAAGGTGATGGGAGAAGGAAGGGAGGAGGTTATAATGATAACTCTGGGGTTTTTTGTGTTTTTGTTTTTCTGACACATTCATACCCATTCTTTTATTCAATCTTTTTTTTTCCCCCAACCCTGGAAGCCAGAAATTATATCGGTTTTGCAAATGAGGAAACTGAGGCCCCCATCACACAGCTAGTTTGTAACAGAGCTGAGACTTAGAGCTGAAGTTTATTGATTCCTAATCTGGCATTCTTGGCTCCATAGATGATCTGTGCCCAATCGGGTTCAGTGAAATGATTTATCCAATAGCCCAGAGCTGGCATTAAAATTTGGGTCTCCTGACTCTATCCAATTCTCACAAATAGCAGAATATTAGAGCTGGTCCCTTAGACCATAGTCCAACACTCATTT